GGGAGAGGAAGAATGAGGAGGAAGACAGGGAGAAGTCAGGGAAACGCCGGTTCGGTGAATGTAGGCGTACCCGACTGACGGTTCGCCGCGTGTCAGCAGCGCGTCAGCGGTCCCGATCAGCTTGTCAGACGGCATGCGGTCGTCAGATTGGAGCAGCTCGGGGATCGCGGGAGGCCGTCTCTTGGTATGCCACGTGTCATCTGCTGGTCAGTTCCGCTGGCCGGATCCCGTTATTGCGTGTGGAATCCGTGGATGGATGGATTACGCCCAATCCACGTGTCAGATTCCGTCCACCACGTGATCTATAGCGCGACTGCGATTCGTGGATTGGGATCGGGGATGTGTGAAAAGAGGGCGCCTGGATTGGGACCGGGATCTGAAGAGAGGACACGCCAACTCAGGGCTCAACTGCCTATCGCACGCCGTAGCAACACGTGGCAAGTACTACTACCGTACTACGGGCTACGGACCGGTAGCAACGACAAGATGAGGGACCGGTAGCAACGGATTAGTACCCTACCCACGTACCGGCTATCGTAGAACGTGAAAGAGCTAAAAATAGATGTCGAGCGCAACATATCGATAAAGGATAACGTTTGGAAAGAAAAAACGAAAAATGGATAACCCAAAAAAAAAAAAAAAAAGAAAAAGAAAAAAAACGGATAACGTTGAGGGCACGACAAATTGAGATCCAAGCAACGAAGGACAATGATAATAGGGCGCTGGGAAGATTGGGAGGAGGCAGGAGGGGTAGGTGGGCCCCGGGGCTAGGTCCCACTTGCACGAATTAAGAGATACCGACCGTAGATAGCAAAGATCAACGGCCCAAATCTCCTAATTTGCGCAAGTGGGGAACCTTGCCCCCGGGGGGAGGGGGGCCGAGATGGGGTGCGGAGGGGGCGGGGTCTTGATTGCGAATCTCAATCCCATCATGTGCAGTCATATATTTTTTATTTTTTATTTTTTATTTTTATTTTCATTTTTATTTTTATTTTATTTAAGTCAGAGAAAAGGTACGGCACCACCGCACCATTGGCCGAGCTGAAATGGTACCGTGAAGCGTATGAGCTGGGGCCAAGTGCCAGCACGGGACCGGGGGCTAGGTCCCACTTACATGAATTAAGCGATAGCAAAGATCAACGGCCGAAATCTCTTCATCCGTGCAAGTGGGACCTTGCCCCGGAAAGACGGCTTCTTTAGATTCGTTATCAGGGTGCGTTGTGCTCGGGGGAATCCTCTAATGCTGATTAACACCGCAGTTGGATCCCCCTCCCGGC